GTCCCAGGAAACATTGAAATCCTTGACCACCTTTTCGTTGCGTGAAGCTGATGTTGAGCAGCTTAAATCTATTGAGCAAGATCTTGAACTTGGTTTGGTAGGCAATGGGAGTTCCTTAGTTCTGGCTGGCCTTTATGCTTGCGGAGATCTCTCAGTAACAATGCTCAAGTAAATGTCAAATTATGTTTGTAAGCTATTATTTTCCCTAGCCTTACTACTTGGATGAATGATGATAATTGTAGAAGCCATCTTAAGTCTATATATTAAAATTGTGCATTCAAATGTAATAGATTGAACATGGACACACAATATGGGTGCAAGACTACACAGACACAATGACACAAGATTGCTAAAAAAATTAGGATACTGGTATAACTAGACATGGCAGTTAAAAAAATATTTCCCTGAAGTTGGAACAAGTCCTTCAATTGGGCGCCAAGGGAAGGCATTGCGCCGAAAACAGCAAAGGAAGATAATTGAGTCTGAACTGCGTGCTGAAGAAAGTACTTATTCTGATTTGCCTCAGAGGGATTGTAATATGGACAAGGCTTGCTCTATCATACAGAGCGGAGAATCTGAAGCAGTTACCTAATGGCCAATTATGTTTTAGGACAACTAGTTTGTTGCACTTTTGATGACCTTCCACTACATCCTTTTCTCTCTTCTTCGCATGGTCGTGGTAATTGCCTAGTGAAGATCCTGCTTTGGGAAAATTTTCTTTTGACATGTATTAGATTGGTTGGGAAATTTGAATTACTTATAAGATACTGCAACTTTTCCTTGTGCTGCAGCTGACCCTTCAGGTGTAAAGTTGGACATGGATGCCTTATTCAATAAAATGTCCTTGCATGCTCTGGTAGTAGATGTGAAGGGACTGTCTTCCAATAAGTATTTACTTTTTGAGAATTTTGTGAGTCTGGATTATGTCGTCTTGGGCTTAAACCATCGAATGATATAAATTTACATGACATTTGGAAGGAAGTTGAACCCTATGTTGTACGTCTCTCCAACTCATATTTTTATGGTTTTTGAAGACGCCAAATTTTGTCCCTTTATATAATATATGTCCTTTAATGTCGTTACATTACATAATGTACTTACATTATAGATTATATTATATAATAGTTTATTACATTTACATACATTTATTTTACATGTCATAGGTCCGTTTCACAAATAAAAAACATTTGCAGGCCCAACAAATCGCTGGAGTGCAGCCCACCACGTATAGGAATAGGGTTTTTTGGAAACCCTAGCTCGCCCCCCTCTTGTCCCAGCCGCCAAACGCCTCGACCGTTGGATCTAGATGAGATCCAACGGTCCACAATAGACCATATTTTAGGGTTTTAACCTTCACTCATTTCAGCGCCGCAACTGTCCCCATGCGAGAATCCTCGTGTCCCACATCTCACCAGGAGCCTATCCCCGGTTATCTCGGCACCAGTTCCCGATCCCCTCGGCGCAAGGAAAGCACACGAAGCCAATCATAAGCAACAAGCAAGACAGCGTGTTAGTTTAGGACTTCAACAACCAAGCCGAGTTTTACTCGAATTAAAATTCTAAGATAGGGTATTTGTTGTATTATAAATAGAGATCTAGAGGAAAGAAATAACACACGACTGGTACACAAACACCACACATCTACAGCAAATATAGAGAAGCAAGCCGAATCTTTGTACAACGTTTGAAAGGAAATAAAGGTAGCGTTTTTACCTCATTTTGTTCGTTCTTGGTTACTTGCATGCGTAGTTACTCGCGTTTTGTGCTTGAAAACCCCAAAGAAAAACGTTTTGGCCGATGACAGAGGGGTGGATCTTTTGAACTTTCGATCTTAGATTTACACCCCGAGGCTTGTTTTCCTAAAAAAGTACTCGGATATTCTGAAAAAGGAGGCAAAGGGCTTTAAAAAAAATCGAAACTTTTTATATTTTGTCGTCGGCGAACGGCGGTCGGCGCCAGCAACGACGGCCGAAATCTGGATTTGGCGGCGGCGTTCATGGGTTCATCAAGAACACATGAACTGTCCAAAGAAACGAGAGAAAGAGAGGAATGGCTTTGGTTTGGAGGAAGGAAAAATGAAAGTTAAAACAGATTTTTAACTTAAATACATGGCCCGCTTACCCGTATACGACCTGCGCACGGACCCGACCGCTTAGCTAACCCGCGTGTTTTCACTGTGAAATGAGTAAACCTCTGTTTTGGTCCCTCGCATTCTAAAGAGGCTTCATTCTGACCCTAAATCCGATTTCCACATCATTTTGTCTCCTAATCTGGCCACTTAATTTGTTTTTCTTTTCAATTTAATCCCCAGTTAAACCCAATTCGTACTTTAATTTTCAATTTTCCTTTTTTAAATCTTTAATTATTTTTTTTATTTAGTATATTATGTTTTATTATCATATATATTATTATTCTTATATATATATATATATATATATATATATATATATATGTAATTATCTCTATTTATTTGTTTTATTGATTATTGCATATATATTTTCCTTTTTGTTCCCCTTTATTTTTTATGTGTCATGCATTCTATTTCTGTATTATTTATTTCGCTTTTTACATATCTATCTATTTTTCTTTTTTTTTCCTTCGACATATTTTTTATTTTTATTTTTATTTTTGTGTATTTATTTTATTATTTTGCTCACTTTTTATCTTGGTCTCATTATTATTATTTTATTTATGTGTATGTTACCTCTAGTTTCATTATTCCGTTTATTTGTTTATTTTACTTTGCTTATTTATCTTTTTTATTTTCTATTTTATCTTCATGTTTGTTTGTTTTTTACTTTATTCATTCTCGTTCTTTAACGTCTCTATTTTTTTTAAGGGTATCTCAAACAATCAGAGGTAAGTAATTTTGGATCGTTATTTTACCTTTTAATTTAAAGTTGCAATTTTCTTAATTAAAGACCATTGGAAATTATGTAGTACCGAAAGGACAGTTCAATGGTGCTAACCCTTCCTTGACTGTACCCGACTCCCGAATCCGACACATCTCTGGCACGATACAGATCAGGTAAGAAATAAGGTGTCCGGTTAACCTATTTATTTTTAAATAAATAATCGGTGGCGACTCCAATCCACATTTTTTAAGTCGATGCCCAATTCTGGAGCCCAACTGAAAGGCGGTTCCGACAGTTTTCATATAAAAATCTAGGTTCATTTGGATTAAAAAGAGAAAGAATATTATGCAATTGTCTTTTAGTGGAACAACATGTCATGCTTCACTTTAAAAGTATAATAAAAAAAATCAAATAGCTTCCACTTGGGGCATGTTGTCGAGAGCATTGCTCTATGCAATTCTAAGCTGTCTATAAAGTGAGTCAGTCGAGAAAACCACCTTAATATACTTCTAAACTTACTATAATTTATTACAAATTAGAGGAAATTTAACCGGTAGCGGAAGAGAATAAAGAAATATAAAATTATAGATAATATGATTTTTAGTGTTATATTTTCTTACTTATTTGAGTTATGTTTTTGTAATATAAATTCATGAGATAAATAATAATGATAAAGTATACAGAATTAAATATAAATATAAAAGATAAATAAATAAATTATTGTATATAGAAGATATAATAAATATTACATCTTAGATAACAAAAATAATTTACATCTTTTTATTATTATGAATATCTATGATAAATTATTGTATATAAAAGAATGTAAACATTGTCGATTGAAAAATACAAGAAACCTCCAAGTGAATGCGTCACGTATGAACTGAAGCTAGTTTTCACAATGTAAACATTTAGTTAAATGTTGAAGTAAAATTTTAATATATTTTTACATAAATTATGTAAAATTTAATATTAATTAAAATTAAAATAATACATGATATATTTAAATAATCAAGTAATATATTATCGATGAATTTTTATATAAATGATTTTTATTTAAATATTTAGAATTTCACTTGTTAAAAAATATAGAACAAGGACAATTTGGTAAAATATACATTCCAGTAATCTTTTATTCCTTCAACCAAACACTATAATCTTACATTCATGCCAAACAAACCAAACATTGTATTATTTTTTTGTTAATTGTCCTCTGATTTTTTAAATTTTGAGTTATATCTTATCATATTTATAATAATGTGTTCTCTTAACCCTTTCTCTAATAAAGGGTATTATGAGTACCGGTGTTTTTGAACTCTTGATGAAGATTTTTTTCTATTATGGTTCTACGAAATTTCTTGATTGCTTGCTTCCCAGGTGTGTGACTTTTTCATTCGTTTGTATGTGGCATTTCTTTGGTTGTCAGATATTTGTGTCAGATGGGACTGCAGTTAAAGGAGGGATGGATTTTCATTCATCTGATTTGGATATTCTTCAAGTTTTTCTTCTCTATGTTTGGTGCTCGAGAATGTCAAAGTGATTTGTCTTTGAATGTCGTTTCCTCAACTGTTCAAACTTGTTCATCATACCATCACCTATTGCTCACTATTATATTTTATTTATGATAGTTATAAATATATTTATCTCGTATGTATATGACAAGACGTTGTTGGCGCTACTTTATTTTGCTAATGAATATATTACAGTCTTATTTTCAACAACAACAAAAATGATTGAAAAGAAAATTTATTTAGTTCTCTATCATAAAAATGTCTACTTATGTTAAATTTATCTTTGATTGATTTTAATATTTTGATTTATACACTCTTTATATTTTTGTTAAATTTAAAATTGAGTAAATTAATATATTTTTAAAAGTATTTTAATTATATATATATAATCTTCTATTACAAGATAATATTTATTTAAAAAATAGTCATTGACACGTATCTATTTAAAAAAAAGTCATTGACAACAATATAATATAGACAAAAATAAATAATTACTCGAATTCGAAACCCAAACCTATATCACTAAGGAAGAATAGAATTCTTTTTAATCAGTACAAGAGTTCTTAAAATAGTCTTGTCAAAATGGTCAAACTCAAATAAGTGCAACCCGACCCAAATACAAAATAGGAAATTAGAACACAATGAAGCAAAATTTATTTCATTAAAGATCACAACAATCGGAAATTCTGCAATTTCTGGGAACTTAAGCTGTGGATGTAATTTATATTTATGCTATTCAACAGCTCGTGAACGTAAAACAATACTAAGAAAAATACTACTTGTGTCCATCCACAAGCGCCCTCACGATAGCTTCACCCATCCCATCAGCATACGCAAACAAATGGCCAGCACCAGCTGCCTCATTGTACTTAATCCATGGTAGTCTTTCGGCAATGTAGCGTTGAAGGATAACCGGCACCAACCGATCTTCATCCCCCATCCAAAGGTGAACACTGCCCTCGTTGTTCGGATAAGGGTTGTCGAGATCGAGGGGATCAAATTCCCACTTCCCGAAGCCGATCCTCATGTCACGATGTAAGGACTCGAATACTCCTTGCTGAGTTGCCACTCCGCCCATTTCCTGCATGCAACAAGATCAAGTGGTAGAGCTTTAGGAGTATCTTCCTCGTCTTCATAGATAGAAAGAAAGCTAGCGACCAATAAATGAGAAAGGGGAAAACAAAGGTAAACTACCCTGTGATCCTGTCTAAGGGCAATTTTTTGTTGAATTTGGAGATCTTGAGGGGAGTAATTTTCAGGTCTACGAGAAATGACACTAGATGAAGGAAAAAGCTTCTGAGTGTTCCACCAATAGACTAAAAAAGGCATATAGTGAGCAACACGCAAGGCCCATTGATCTTGAGGAAGCTGCAGACTGTATGCTTCTTTAGATAAGTTTGCAGGCAAGCCAGGCCACCAATAGTTGATAACAGGTGCCATTAGTGCTGCTCCTGCTAGCCTAAAAGCCATTCTCACACTGAAATTAAATGCTGTAAAAAGACACCTCTCTGCATTATAACTATCCAATATGTTTTCCCGATTCATTTTTAATATTAATGTCCAACACAGAGATATTGATATATGAATATATCTGTCAGGAACGTATTAGCCAGTATCAGTCACTCTCACAAGTCGACACATACTAGCTAGTATCAAACACTCCCTCCCTCCAGCAAATGGATTTGATTTACCTATGAGGTATGTATTTGAGGCAGCTCCAGACAGCATGGCCTCCCATAGAATATCCAACTACATAAAATTTGGATCCAAGTCCCAACCGATCAGCAAGCTCTTCAATATCAAGGGCCAAGCTCTTCATCGTTCGCTTCGGGTCAGGATCACTTTCTCCGTACCCCGGTCTATCAAGCGACACGCTGTATACACCTAGCTCTTGAACAACTTCCTGAAATGATGAAACCCATAATTTGCATCAGCCAAATGATAGAATCCAGCTACGCTAAACAAACGAAACAAGGCAAAAAGTACCAGGGATAGCCTTGTGACAAGGGACTCGGTAAGTCTAGAACCAGAGAAACCATGAACAAAGATGAGCTTATGCTTTGCCATTTCTTTTGACACACCATGCTCTTTGTAGGCCAAATGCCTTCCATCCCTCAGTTTTATTCTATCGGCGGTGATAGGAGGGCCATCTGGAGTTCCACAGATTTTGGGAGGTGGAGGCTGAATGGCCTGGTATGCCCATGCCACCAAACCAGTCAACAAGATCAGTATAATTTCCCTGTACATCCCTGCTACAGCATAATACAAAGAGGAAAACTCATATGATTTGCTCAAAGATTCATGAAACATTGCACAATATTAAATGAGACTAAAGGTAAAGACAGATACAATAACAATTTGGTTATGCAAAAAGGGTTTATAAAGAAGAAATGAAGAAAACAGTGTACGTTCAAAAGCTATCTTCACAGCTAATATACGTACATAACTGAAAAGCATATACTTTATTAAAATTAGGGAAAGAAAGAACCTGAAAAGGGCTGAAACGAAGAAGAATGTTACAAGAGAAATTGTCCTGTTGCTGAAGCGAACCCTGATCTGAACCCTGATTGCTTCTCGACCAAAACTTATTCTTCTAAAATATACAATCACAAAAAAATATATATCAATAAACAAAATTTAAAACTGATATATTAAGCTATGAGCTCTTAAAATTTAAGCTTGGATTCACAAATAAATTTGAAAGAAATTTTAAGTTACGCATACTTGTTTTTCAAGGCATCATCAATGGCGAATTGGTGATGAAAGCGTGAGAAAGATGAAGCAAGAAACACTCCTCCCTCCAATGAATTTGTCGGAAGCTGAAGAATGAACGAAAATGATATTTTAATCTTTTTTGACTTGTTTCCAACATATTTATAATATGAATATTAGGAATTAATCAACATTTCACCAAAATAAACATGTTAACGTGACACGTGTATTTCCACTAATTCAGCATTTGGTAAAATAATCATATAAAACTCATTGTTTTGTCATCTTTACAAATTTAGTCATAATATTTTTTTTGAAATAATTTACTCATAAAATTTAAATCACTTTTTAGTTCCAATTTTAGTTTAAACCGAATCGTCATTTAATTCAACCGACTGAATTAATTTAAACATATTTTTTATAATTTAAATAAATATTTAAATTTTACATGAATGAAACTATCTTAATGGTTAAATGATGGTAATTATCGTTAGAGGTTTCAAATTCGAACACCAATAATTGGATGGTATTCGAACTATGATACAATTAAATTTAAAGAATACTTCATAAAATGAAGAGTAAGATCTGAAGAAAGAGAAAAATATAATTAAATATAATTCAAAATTGAATGAATAAATAAGATAAATGAAAAAAAGAGAGTAAAAAACTAAACATTTTATGAAATTATACAAAATAGAGACCCTAATTATAAATTAAAAAATTGGAGACCCTAACTATAAATACAAAAAAATTAAGGGCCCTCAGCGGTTGCTCAGGATACCCCCCATAGAGCCGCCTTGGATAAACACTAACCGTAAAGGCAACACTAAATTCAACCCTTATAAAAGAAAAGTAGGCGAAGAAAGGAGTTTGTGGTTGGTTGCAACTTATTTCTACTTTTCCGGTTCATTAAGTCAATGTTTGTTTAATTTATAAATTATAATACCATTATTCTTTTAGAATAATATTTTTAGAATATAATACTATGTAATAAACTATTGAGAATGTTATATTATCTTATTTAATTTATTTGATAGAATACAAAATTATAATGTTAAAAAATATAATATTATTTAAAAGTTAATTTTATTTTTTAACAAGTTAAACTTTTAATACTAACTAAAAAATATTTACTTAAAATTCATAAAACTATTTCTGTTAAACTATCTAAATTCCACCCAAAAAAATATATTTATCATATTATTATTATAATTAGACTATACAGTTATATTTAAAAATGAATTTAATTAATAAAATAAATTGTATAAAAAAATAAAATTAATTGTCACTTGGTTGAAAATCTTTGAACAAATACTACCTTGTATTCATCTCACATTTACCAAAAAATAACCTCAAACTTGAATCGAATCTATATTATATCGATCTAACTTGTATTATGAGCTAGATAGTCTCTAATAAATGCTATTATTGATAATGATATATTTTTTTAGTGAGATTCAAGCTAAATCAAATTCAAAAATATATATTTAAAAAAAGGATATTATATTTTTTTAAATCAACTGATGATTAAATTATTTGGTAAAACGCATTAAAGTAGGGATTAACAAGGGTTTGGCCTTGTCGAATATTTGATCGATTTGACTTGATTCGAGTATTTTATTGTCATCAGACTTGATTCATATTTAAGAAGACTCCACTTGATTTGAAACTTGATCCAATTTATTGAGATAAAAAATGAAGTTATATATATAACTTTTATTAGGTAAAATAAGGAATTAACTGAAAAAATTGAGAGATATTATTATAAATTATTTTAATATATAACAGTTAATTATACTATTATCTAAAGCTTAGTAAAAAAAATCACCTTAAATTGAATTCAATCTAATTTTATCATTTAAAAATCTCGTTTCAAACTTGATATATATATATATATATATATATTTAAAATGATTCAATACTATAAAACCAAGTTAAATCATAATTCCAAAGTTTGAATCCCATGTTTATGCATAGACCTTGCAAATTTAACTTATACCCGAATACTTCAATCGATTTATTTGACCCGAGACTTAATATAAACTTGAATATGATGACTCAAAATTGATCCGAAATCCAAAGTAAATCGAATCGAACCAAAACCAACCAAAATTTTAGTTGAATTGAAAGTATCTCGAACTGAAAACAACTCGAACAAAAAACAACCCGAATTTTGACCCGACTTTAACCCGAGAAGTGAATCTAAGTGAGTGAATAATTTATTATTATTATTATTATTATTATCTATTTTTAATAACTTGATAAATAATAAAATGATGTATGTTTTATTCTCATTTTGTAATATACTATTAGTTAATCATCACCTTAGTTGAATGGTTCAATATAACATTTCCTCATTTAAAATATCATATCTCCATCTTATCCAGTAACTTTTAAATTATTTAAAAATTATTTGATATAAAAGATTATAAAATAAAATTACTCATACCAAAAATTCTAGATAATGTGATTAGCTTTAATTCATATCACTTAAATGGTAGAAGGCTTAATAGATAAAGGGAATGAATATAATTGGTGTTTACGTTTAGACTATTTTACTTTGATCTTGTTTTACGAAAACAATTTATTTAAGAATTAAAGTATTTGATTTAAAAAATAATAATAAATAACTTATTTTATAATATATAAATATTTTAATAATTTAAAACTAAAATACTATCAGAAGTGTAATATAATTCTAATATAATTAATATATTCTTTTTAAAATAATAATATTATATTTATAATTAGGCATCGAACATCTAATTAAAATTTTTCAATGAGAATAAAATTTATAATTTAAAATTTAATTCTTCATAAACTTTTCATGTTAGATCAATACGAAATTAAAGTCACAAAATCTAATATGTCTTATAGATTCGGATCAAATTGTCATCCATAAACGATAATGTAATTTAAAATATTGAATGTTTGAAAGTTGAACTTGAATTTAAATGGTAAGATTGACAAACAAAAATATATTTTTTCTTATAAGAATATATCAATAATTTTATATATGCTTAATTGGACTCAGATTTAACTAACCCGAATTGACCCAAAAATTTAAAGTTGACCCATCAATTTGATATTGACCTAATCCGAAAATCGAATGATTCGATATTGATCCGACCTGAAATCAACCGATCTGGTATTGACCCAGCCCGAAAATCAATTGATATGATTTTGACCTGACCTGAAAATCAACCTATCTGATTTTGATCCGGCCCAAAACTGACTTGCCATAGACCCGAATAAAAATCGAACCAAAAATAACCTAACATAGATCAAATCTCAAACCAGAATGACCCGACCCGAAATTAACAATATAAACTCGATCTGGATAACCCGTTTACCACCTCTATTCATGCTTATACGAAAGAGAGAGAAATCTTAACATTATAAAAGAAAATCAAAACTAACGTTCTTGACTTTTAATGACAACTGTAGTGGCTTTTATTTTATTTTTTATACGATTTCATGAAATTAACTATATGTTGTATATAACTCATGATTGTCAATCTAGTGTCATCTATGATGTCAAGATCAGTCTTCAACAAATCTATAAATCATTTATGATTAGGGTAAAATAGACAAATGGTTTGGGACTATATAGTATTTTTCTTAAATATTTTAATTATTAAAAGTCATAAAAATAATTTTTCAATTATAGAATATTGTTTTATTGAGTTTCGATTATTAAAAGTTACAAAATGGTCATTCAAATATTCATATATTTCAAATTTGTTCTTTATTATTAAAAATTAATGGTCGTTTGAGTTGGACTTTAACCTACTGATTGAGATATAAATAAATTATATTTTAATGATATCTACTAATACTATCATTGTTTTCAAACAATGGCTCAACGACATAATGCTTCAAGCATTGGCTCGATAGCATAATATAAACAGAGAGTCAATCTAAAAAATATAGCTCAAACAATTCAAGGATCAAATTTGATCAAATATCAGTTAATATATTAACGTCTAGTTCAGACAACTGCAGTTCTTTCAACAAAAAAAGAAGAAAATTATAAAATATATGAATAATAAGGTGACTATTTTATAACTTCTAATAATCAGATGACTCAAAAAAGCAAATCCTTATAGTCGAAGGATTATTTTATGCTCCCTCTATCCCACTAAATTTATCGCTTATTTTCTTTTTAAAAGTAAAAAATTTTAAACTTTGACCATAATTATTTTAAATGTTTTAAGCAAATAAATTTTATAAAATATATATTTCGAAACTACTTGATTTAAGATTTTAAAATATATTTTTATATTTTTGTCAATAATAAATTTTAAATAATAAAGAGTCTAAATTGAAAAATTTTGATAAAAAATCAATAAGAGACAATTTTAGAAGGACAGAGAAAATAACTTTCAATGGTTAAAAGACTCACGTTCTATAATCGAATGACTATTTGTGTATATTACCCTTTATGGTTATTACTATTCTCGACTTTACCAATAATAATTGAAACTGAAGGGAACCATCTTGTTGTTTAATAATCGAAGGAGGTATTAAGCATCATAAAAAGCCCAATGTAAAGATTACATTCTCGCAAATTCCAGATTGCAAGGTCCCCCACAATCCACATAAGTTAATTGGTCACCACTTCCTCCAAGTGTTGTGAAGATCAATTACGATGCCAGCTTCAATCAAAGGGAGAAAAAGTCATGGTCAGGAATCGTAGCTAGAAATAATGAAGGCTTTGAGATGGGAGCATGTAGAAGACAAACCGTACGAGCCCCTTTGTAATACCCCAAATTTCGGGTTAATAGTTTTGGGTTTACCTGAGAGGTAAGTGGACCCCGTAAATTTCATGATTTGAGTTGTTGGGTTTAATTGGATTGGTTTTGGGCCCATTAGCCTTAAAAAGTGAATTTTTGAATATAAGATAAAATGTAAAGGACTAAAAATGTAATTAGACCATTGTTGGATTTTGAAGCTAAAATTTGGGGGATTATATGTTTGGACGTGGGTTTCATTTTCCACTTCTCTTCTCTTCATTTCATCTTCCTTCAATTTCTCATGTAGCCATAGCTCCAAGGTAAGGTCTTACACCTTTTTCTTGTTTCATTTTCGTTCTTAATCCCCTTTATAATGTGG